TTTATCTGGATAAATATGACATTTACCTCTATTAGTTTCACAAACCAATAGTTTGTTTTTTTTTCAACACAGAAAATACCACAGCACACTAATAATAATAATAATAATAATAATAATAATAATAATAATAATGATAATAATAATGATGATAATAATATTAATAATAATAATAATAATAATAATAATAATAATAATAACAACAAAAATGTCCCTTTGACTCTGACCGTCACAATGATAAAATACCATAAATAACACTAATTCAGTACACCTTTATAGGCTAATAAAGGAGGTGAAGAAAATAAGAGTCTTAGAAGTAATCTATCTCTGTTACAGTACTACAAAGACAAGGCGCTTGTTTTTCATAAAACTGGTCTATCTATAATGCAAGAGATTTTATATTTAAGATATAAGTCAGATGGTCTATTATTAAGAAAATCTAATTAATAATTTATTTATAAATAGCCTAGAACTTGGCAAGAAAATAATGTTGTACAGCATTTTTTCCCTTCATTTCAGGAATTTTATACATGCACAATTATAAAAAATCTAATGGTGCATCTAAATTCATCTATCTTCATAGCATGAAAATTATCACAGTGCTTAAGAGAATACCTAAGTTAATAAAAAATATCTAGATGACTAGAATCTATTTCATAAGCAATACTAAAAATACACTTAATAAATTGTCCACTTACTCTTTAGTACAAATATTAGACGTAAAAAAAAGAGAGAGAGAGAGAAAAAGGAAGATAGTGGGAGAGAGAAGGGGGGGGAGGGGGAGAAAAAGAGAACAAGAAAAAAGTACAAGTGACAAATATGAAGTCATAGCACAATTTCACCAAAATATCTGTATCTTGATGGCATGCAACAAAGGCTATCCAAAGACAACAATATTCAAATAAATCATACCATTTGTTCACAAGGATCAAACCTTTACCTCCCCAAAACAACACAATAAGATGCAGAAAAGTTTAGGCCTTTTTTGTAGGATGTCCAAAACCCCTACCATGTCCTTAAACTGAACCTTACTGGAACCCGTTGAAATACCATTTTGTTTTGTGAGACTCTACCATGATGTTTACTCATAAATGGTAAGAATTTCCAACATGACCGTGTCATATGATGTGGTATTGACTTCGGTGGGATGAATACCTTCAAAATCTTTCTGTACCTCTATGATGTAACCTTACAGGCTCTAAAATATCAAAGGAAAAGTGTATCTTGATCTGTAAATATATATCAGGTACTAAGACATGTAAATTTCCACTTTGCATATAAAAAAATAGCTATATTAAAAAAAAAAAAAAAAATCCACAGACTTGTGAAGCAAAAAGTGATGGGTATAAACAATATAAGTTGCAAGTTGCAGAGGAGTCGGGTCCTTCTTCTATTTAATTTGAAGCTCTGACACTGTTTTGCTTGCCATTGAAAATCACACCAACATGCTAAGTACTGTTTTCGGTTCATTATTTAATAACACTTCCTTTTTCAACACTGTATGTCAGCACAAATTTTGCTGATACTGTGTTCTGTTGTGGCCATGAGACATCACACAGTGTATCAAAGTGTTAGGGGTTTTGGGATGCTACAAAAAGCGGGCCTTTAGTCAATCTGTACACAAGCCTTTTCCAACATTCCAATATCTTAACACAAATCAAGAACCATATTTACGGCCTGCCATCCCTGTGTACGAGGTTTTAGGTCAGAGGTGGAGACTTGTGTGAAAGGTCAAGGTCTTTTCAAAAAAAAAAAAAAAAAAAGTCCAAGTGATGTGCTGAATAAAAAGCCAAATGCCATACCTGGAACATGAATAAAGACACTATACCCCATGACCCCTATCCTCTTCATCATTTGCCCTCTTTGACATCTCATCAAATATCCACTTCTGCCCTGGGTACCCCATTTTCTTCCTTTGCCTCTTTGGCATCTAACCAAACGCCTAGGATTCTCTATCTCCTTTATCAGCCCTTATAATATCTCACCAAGTGTCTGTCCCTGCGTTAGGCCTCCTTTATGTCTCCCGAACTTGAAAATATGGAAAGGATTGGTAACAGGAAGAGCATATGGCTGTAATAAATACTTTCACGTACTAGTGATGCTCATACACTGACAAATATTGGATTGCAAATGGATTTGGATAATATCCTGTGAACATCTTGATACATCTCATAAACATTACAAAGAAATGAATAAAATATAGATGCTGGAATTGAATATATCTGTATATAAAAATACTGGAAGATGACATGTTTAGATCAATTCAAAGCAGAACACTGTATTCTTAAATCATTAATTATTGTCACAACACTTATAAAGCATGCTGTACAGTCAGTTCTCACATAAATAAGCAAAAAAGTCCATACATTCTTTCCCATGACATAACTCTTTTTTTTATCGCTCTTGGATACTGTAGCACCTCATATAATCAATATCTATACATCTGATCACTGTCCATGACTTATAACACTCGTTCCAAAACACCGGAAGGCAAAGAGTAAGAGACTGATGGAAATAAAATTCCAAACATCTACGAGTACATGAATTTGTCCTCTATTAACTCACTTTTTCAAAACTGTCTAGATAAATAATAAAAATGATACTGGAAATAGAAAGACTAACCTGTCTGCCTACAAAAATATTACGAGCATAAAAATATTTCTGTAATCCAAAGGTAAAACCAAGTACAAAAAAGATTAGCTTTTAAATCCTCAAAAGAAATGCAGAATCAATAGTCACCCTTCCATAACTTCAAAATACAAGAAGTAGTGGCAATAATACAGGTACAGTGGTATTCAACCACACAGACATGTTCTGGACGTATCAGAATTTTATTTTCTATCTGGTAATCCCTTCCACAGAAGAAAGCCCTCCAAAATACTTGTAGTAAATAAACCTATACAAGGTTTTTTGAGCTGTATATCAAGACCCCTGCTCTCCAGCCCAATTCTTTGTAAAGTAAAATATACTTTGTAGCAAAGATATTGAAAATATTCAAAAACCTTACAGTTTAAATCTCACTGCATCATGAGTAGTGGATTTCCTGAACCAGTGTAGCTTAGGTTAAACCGGTAGATGATATATATACTGTACAATACTATTAATACAGATACAACTCATAACACAAGCACAAACAAAAGTTTACTGTTTCACTCCACTGTGACGAGTAAACAATCAACAACAGTCAGATTCAAACCAACGTCAAAAATCACCAAAGCTGTCAAACCTATAAACAAGGTTCAAACTGTACCACTTTTTTTTTTCTATTTTTTCTTTTTTTTAAATGAAAGCACATACACATATTTCATGGAAGCAACATCCAAATGGAAGGAATACCAAAATAAACAAAACACTTAACAAAGAATACTCAGACCTTCACAAGACACACTCTTAACACAGGCATAGTAGTCTCTGCACTAAACTTTTATTCTGTGACTCCACTCCTTCGACAAAAAGTGGAATGTATTAAAATATCTTTATAGTAAGGGAGGGGGGGGGGACAAGCACAAACTCAGCAACCATATGTGGAATTCAGTATTTTTGTGCTCTTCTGTCAAATACAAGTCTTATAATTTAAAATTGTATATATTTCTCTTTTTTCATCACTTTATCATCACTTATCACTTCTTGCAAAATAACACTTGGCCTAGTGACTGTTTGTTTTTAAGAACGTCTGAAGTGTGATAATATTACATTACTTGAAACTTACTGTTTAATTATATTTTTTTCTTTTATTATCAATCAAGGGTGCATTTAGAATTTAGACCTTCAACCTGTCTAGGCGAGTACAGGTAACAGGTGGCCCTAGGAGGAATTTTATCATTTTTGTGCAACCATACTTGCTCTTGCAAAGCCTTGTTACACTCATAATATCAGAAAAAAAATGCCACACTTTCAAGTTTGGCATGACAGACATAGACATCATCCTATATCAACTATTCAAAACCTTGACTTGAAATCAGTATTTCAAAATAAGAAACAGATGGAAGATATTCCTGATATATTCATTATGAGCTCTACTACCTGATGTTGCAAAAAGAAGAAGATTTTTGTGCTCTTCTGTCAAATACAAGTCTTATAATTTAAAATTGTATATATTTCTCTTTTTTATCATCACTTTATCATCACTTATCACTTCTTGCAAAATAACACTTGGCCTAGTGACTGTTTGTTTTTAAGAACGTCTGAAGTGTGATAATGTTACATTACTTGAAACTTACTGTTTAATTATATTTTTTTCTTTTATTATCAATCAAGGGTGCATTTAGAATTTAGACCTTCAACCTGTCTAGGCGAGTACAGGTAACAGGTGGCCCTAGGAGGAATTTTATCATTTTTGTGCAACCATACTTGCTCTTGCAAAGCCTTGTTACACTCATAATATCAGAAAAAAATGCCACACTTTCAAGTTTGGCATGACAGACATAGACATCATCCTATATCAACTATTCAAAACCTTGACTTGAAATCAGTATTTCAAAATAAGAAACAGATGGAAGATATTCCTGAAATATTCATTATGAGCTCTACTACCTGATGTTGCAAAAAGAAGAAGAAGAAGAAAAAGAAAGTAGGGAAGGAGGCAGAGAGAAGAGAGGGAGGGAGGGAGGGAGGGAGATAGAGAGGGAGGGAGGGAGGGAGGGAGGGAGAGAGAGAGGGAGGGAGGGAGGGAGGGAGAGGGAGGGAGATGGAGAGGGAGAGAGGGAGGGAGGGAGGGAGGGAGGGAGGGAGGGAGAGGGAGAGAGGGAGAGGGAGAGAGAGAGAGGGAGAGAGGAGAGAGGGAGAGAGGAGAGAGGGAGAGAGGGGAGAGGGAAAGAGGGAGGGAGGGAGGGAGGGAGGGAGGGAGGGAGAGAGAGAGAGAGAGAGAGAGAGAGAGAGAGAGAGAGAGAGAGAGAGAGAGAGAGAGAGAGAGAGAGAGAGAGAGAGAGAGAGAGAGAGAGAGAGCGCGAGCAACCATAAAAATCACATAGCCTTCCAAAAGGAAAAGCCGGCCTTACGAAACTGTTAATTCCAGACACAACCCTGGCCAGCCTTCCACAACCAGTCATCCCAATATACCTATAAATTACCCATGAGGTAGCACAAGCTCGGTGATTCCCTACCCGTCACCTGATGTGATTTACGAAGAGCCAGCTACACGTACACATATGGAAGGGAAGTAGTCAAAAAATGAAGTAAAAAACGTTGTGCTTCTTTCATTGTGTTATTCATTGGACAGCACCATACTTCAGGAAGCTTGTTATACTGACATACTAGTAATAACTTATAAAATATATATGTGTATATGTTCGTATGTATGTTACATAATAGATATTAATATATTTTCGTAAAATTATCAGTAATTTTTTTACTAAAGGACAATCTAGCATCTGGAGTAAACTATTTTGCAATGTAGGTTTCACATGACAAAACTGTCATTGCAAGAATAATTACCGTTCCACATCTTATCACTTGTTGCAGTGCCCTGAAGCACACTTCGACTTCTTAGCTGTCTCGTATGTGTCATCCAGCCGTTCGCCAATTTCTGAAATTATGGATCAATTAGAGGTAGATACATACTATCATTAAAAACCATCATATAACTGCTTAACACATAACACAATGTGCACATATTACCTCTATTATACAGTATATCACATCCTCAACCACACAGCTAACTAGGGTCTTCAATTCTTTTCCACACTACGTATTTACAAGTTTTACTCTCATTACAGAAACTAAAACAAACACACACATGCACACACACACAAACACACACACACACACACACACGCACACACACACACACACACACACACACACACACACAATCTCTCTCTCTCACTCTCACTCTCTCTCTCTCTCTCACACAATAAAAAATATATATAAATCAATAAAAAAAAATAAGAAAGAGTATATCTAAGATTTAAGTTTCTAGAAGAGTATTAGGATACATACTGACAGTCCCAGAGGATTTGCGAGTGTCACAGCCCTTCACCTCCTGCAATACATCACGATTGAAGGTCAGAGCAGCCAGCCGCATGAACAGGGCTTCCACATTATCTCCCGTCTTCGATGACACAGCCCAATACTCAGCACCAAGACCATGGGCTACGCGGCGAGCCTGTGCTTCAATCTGGTTGTAGGCTCCCTCGCTCTGGAAAAATATGTGGGTGCTTACATGGATCTGGAGGTGTAACCAGGGAATACTAAAGTAAATTTTTGAAAATCTGAATGCCTTGAAAACTTTAAAATTTATGAATGTTATATGCTAATTTATAAGAGAGAAGAAAGAGATGGGTTTAAAGAGAGAAAGAACAAATGACTAACAGAATGAGAGTAAGAGAGAGAGAGAGAGAGAGAGAGAGAGAGAGAGAGAGAGAGAGAGAGAGAGAGAGAGAGAGAGAGAGAGAGAGAGAGAGAGAGAGAGAGAGAGAGCGAGCGAGCAGGGATGAAACAGGAGAACACCTTACCATAAGATCTCGTTTTGTGCCCACAAGAAAGACCAAAGGACAGCTATTAATATTTGCTTCCCGTGCCTCCTCAAGCCACTGAGCCGTGTGTGCAAGAGTCACAACGTTCGTCACATCAAACACAACCATCACAGCTAAAATAAAAAATTAAATTTAAGGTTAAGTCTATTTAATCCTATGCAGTCAGAAAATCCAATATACTTCGGAATGTTAATATATATATCACTACAACTATGACTACTGCAACTACTGCTACTAATAGCACTAACACTAATAATATCAATAATAATAACAGGCACCATATCATTTATATTAATAACAATGATAATGATGATAATAACAATAACAGTCTATCTATTCTTATCATTATACTTATCCATAACAACAAATGTTAATATGTTAAAGACTTAATAAATCAGTACTTCAGTGAATGAAATTATCAATAATAATACTTACTAAGAAAAAAAAGAAAAGAAAAAAAAATGAAATAAGAAGAGACCATTAAAAATGTAAATGCTCAAAAAAAAAATAATAATAATAAAAAAAAAAATAATAATGGTAATAAATAAGTAAATAAATAAATCAGAAAATAAATAAGTAAATAAATAAATCAGAAAATAAATAAGTAAATAGATAAATCAGAAAATAAATAAATAACTAAAATAAAATCCAATGACAAAAAAGAGGAGAAAGACAACCTTTGATCCCTGTCCCTCTAATAATAACAATACATAAAATGTAAATCATGAAAGCAAAAAGACTGGAAAATAAGCGTAAGAGAACATTAACAAAATTAACACTTACCATGAGCACCTCTGTAATAGGAAGCAGCTATGCATTTAAACCTCTCCTGGCCTGCTGTATCCCATCTGGGGGGGAGGGGGGGACAGAGAGTTACATGGGCTGAAATATCAATCTTTATTTTGCATTTGATCATCAATTATTAAAACAATTTTTTTTTTATATTAAAAACTGCTATGTAAAGATAAAGATCTGTTTTCGTTGAACAAATCAGTCTACTTACATCTGTAAATTAAAGGGAATTCCCAAAATGTCAAATCTCTCCACTTCGAAGTCTACTCCTATTGTTGCTTTGTAGTTCGAATCAAAAACCTGATGACAGAACCTGAAATGAATAAAGTCTCATCACATTTTTAATAAAATCAAGACACCCTTTTAACATTAATGAATAATACTGCTGATTATTCCACTCTTTCTATTCAAACTCTCTCATTTGTGCTCTACTATCTCTTATCACTTCTTTATCTTTCTCTCCCTCTCTCACTCTCTTATTATCTCTCTATGTTACTGTTCTCCAATATCCCATTTTCTACCCTATACCCTCACACCATCACTTTATACTTCCATTTCCCCATTTCCCTATCTTGTTTTCTCTCTCTCTCTCTCTCTCTCTCTCTCTCTCTCTCTCTCTCTCTCTCTCTCTCTCTCTCTCTCTCTTACACTGTTAAGCATTGCTTTATTTTTCACATTACCATATTCTCTCTCCTTCACTACTCTTGTTCTTTTTTTATCCCTCCTTATTTAACATTCCCCACAATCCATTCCCTTTCATAATTTTTATTCTCCTCCTCTCAAATTATCCTCTGAAGGTGATAAATAAATAAATAAATAAATAAATAAATAAATAAATAAATAAATAAATAAATAAATAAATAAATAAATAAATAAAAAAAAAAAAAAAAAAAAAAAAAAAGAAAAGAAAAGAAAGAAAGAATCAATTTAGTTCACTTTTGCAGCCAATCACCCTGCTGCTTACCTATTAACCAATCACCCTGCTGCTTACCTATTAACCAATCACACTGCTGCTTACCTATTAACTAAGCAAGTCTTGCCTGTAGCAACATCTCCAAGCACAATCATCTTCGATATCTTGAGTCCAGCTTGAAGTGTGCAGTTTGCATTGGCTGCATTTTTAACGGCTTCGTCAAAGTCATCCTGATTATAAGGGGTCGCCTGTATATGCAAATGGGAGATTACGAATCAGATTTAAATGGTATTCTATTGATAGATAAGAAGAAGAAATAATCTTTCTATGAATTTCATAGAAATATATGCCAAACTATTTATATGACAATGGAAATGACCAAGAAGTCTGCATCTCATATTCACAGGAATTTTGTCATTGTGGAAAATGTACTTACTTGGCGTATGAAAGGTGGAGGGAGAGAGGTGACAATGCGGTCTTTTTCTGCATGTGTCTGCAACATTGTGTACACTGCAGACCGGGTCAGTCGCATGAGGACTGGAAAATTTATAAAAATATTAATTTCAATAATAAAAAAAATAAAAAAAAAGACTACAACAGGTGAACATTTAAAAGGAAAGACTATGCATTTATCTAAATACTGACAATATGATACTCTATTATAATGCTTCGAAAACATACTTGTTGAAAGTTGAAACAACAGTCTTAAAGGTTTGTAGTTCTGATAAGGATAAGATGAACCAAATAAGTAAATGAATTATCAGAATCTGACTATTCAAACAAGTGTGCAGTATCAGAGGATATAAAAGTGCATGTACTAAATAGTATTCACTAATATGGGGCAAGCACATGCAAGATATGTGGAGATACGGTCAGGAAATGAGCTAGTACAGTATGTGAGAAGTTGCATTTGAGTATATAAGTGCAGGATGTATCAGTGAAGAGGAAATATTCTGAATGAATGTGTACGTACACACATGACATCTATGGGTGTACATTTCCAAAGGTACATCAAAATTTGTAATGTTCGACTCACATGTATAATGAAAACAGCTTGGAGTATGACAGAAGCAGAGACAGCATCAGTTTTAGCAACACCAAAAAGAGCAGTTACAAATGCAACACTGCAACACAACAGCAATATTAGTATTTTTATTAAGCATGCCTTTTCCCAGTGACAATAAAACACTTAACACCAAATGCCAGAAGCAATTCACAAAAATATGGTAATGAAATCATACACATCTATAAGTATGCCTATGCCCATCTCTCTTCCATATATAATCTATTAAGTATCACAGTATCTCTAAAATTTGAGGATTTTTGAAAATGACTTTTTCACTAAATCATATAAAGCTAGAAACACTTTATACTACTCCTGAGCTTATAAAAACAAAATACAGAAACAGTTCACATGACTTATAGTAAAAGTACAAGACACCCAGAATGATTCAAGCAATTCCAGTGGCCTGCATACCTCAGGGTGCTTAGGCCAACAAACCTCCACCATGTATGAGAATGAATGTTTTCAAAATGTAAGATATGTATTTGACAAGTTTTGATTATATCTTCATCTGAAATACGCATATATTTCTAATGAAGATATAATCAAAACTGGTCAAATACATCACCTGCATTGTGAAGATATTCATTCTTATTCATACCATTTTCTACATTTATCGCAAAGAGCAATGCATATTCTGACGCAATAGAGCTTAGACTGGTTCCTTTTTAGATATTACACTGTAAGACAGGTTGATGTGCTCTGTCTTGCCAAGGCATTGTACAAACCCGTACTGAACCTGTAAGTTCCCTACACTGGCTGCCTACCTGCTAAATTCCTTTGATTTTATATATACATATCTTCAGATTATGGCCACCTACTAGCATAACCCATTGGATCCACGTGCCTCACTGCCTCACGTGGCCCAAAATCTAGGCATTAAGTGACCCTCCTAGGTGTGTGACTTGTAGGCCCAGTCCACACAAATACCCATGAACAGTGTCAAGATACCTTGCTTCCCCTTTGGAGTATTAGCTTTTTCTACATTATTTTATTATTTTTTTTTATTTTGCCATTTTCTAATCTCTTTATTTGTTATTTGATAAGCTGTATCAAGACTGTTTTTCTTGCATAGACACCATGTCCTCTCTCTCAAGGTAGTCCATAACTTTGTGCAGTAAAACTAATTAACCTTTTGTTGTTTTTGTCTCTATGAAAGTTATTTTTGTAATACTCAATTTTCTAGAATATGCCCTGCGCAGTAAGGTATAATGGGCAGGAGGAAGGAAATAGAGTCCTCCTGGAGCCAGTGGCATTCCAGTTATGGCTTAAAGTTGGTACATTCCACACTCGTTTATCAATGGAAATAATGTAAAAGCCCCTTCCTGAATGTCCACTGAGCCTAATCACCCTCCAAGAGCTTTACGGCAAGTTATTCGTATCATCTTGGGCTTCAGCTGAAATTCTTATGACAGCATGTTCTGTCAGTCCAGCCTTCAGCCAAATTTTCCAATGACGGCATGGTCATGTCACTCTGCCCTCAAGCAAAATTTTTTCATGACATAATAGTCATGTCACCCGTATCAAAGGGGTTCAGATATAAAGGGAACTTTTAAGAGTATTTGGATCAAACACAGTTCATATAATTATGATGAAATAATAACACTTTGAAAAGTACTCGAAGTGTTAGCATTTACCTTAATTGAAATATATGCTGACTCTTCAGGTTGGGTTAAAGGGAGTTAGTTTAAACACAAACTGGTTAGAGTTAGGTTACTATAAAACGAGGTAAAAGTTTATATGCCAATTGAGTGTCAGCCGCTGGCTTTCGTATCGACATTTACAGCAAAAAGCCCACAATTTTCCACCAAACATTTTGCGTCGAGGCAAAGGCTCGTCGACCTCCCTAGCAACTCACCCTCAAACAGAGACCCAAACTAAGTTCCTATCACTCTAAGTTTCTAAGTTTCTCTAAGTTTCAAGTGGCAGAGCTCTGTTGGCCTTTACCAGAGTGCTTAGAACACAGGCTATAGCAACTGATCGAATCTACGCTGCTATTGGGCTGGACTTGGCGGATTATCGGCCTTTCATTATATATTGTGCGAACGGTTATAGACAAAAGATTATGTGTGAAAGAGAAAAAAAAAAAGAAATATTGTTTTCACGGCAATTTCAGGAGCTAAACTGATATTTAAATCTAACAAGGCTGTGTTAGTTTTTTTTTTTTGTTTTTTTTACCTTTAAATACTGTAAATGTCAATAATTACTTTGAAATTGATGACTAACTCAAATGTGAAAAAAAAATAGACGTGTGAGTTATATTTCCATGCAATATCCTTTCTAAACATCCACACACGCCTAACACATGAAATAAATAACCCCCATTTTCCCAGTAACATAAAAAGAGAAGCAAGAAGAAAGAAAAGAAAAGAAAAATCGCCTTCGACACAAACAAGAGTGTATTGCTCAGAGGAAGGAAATCCAGGCCTTTCCACTTTCATCCCCTTAAAAAAGACTCCGCAGCAACTTCCCAGAGCTGTCAGTGAAGCAGAAACACACACAGGTCCCCCCAAGACCACACCACCAGTTATGAGAAGCACCAAAGGGCCGCCGACTCACTCTGCACGCAAATCCCCTCAGACGCGGGCCATCCTGAGGCCGAGACGCGGACCTCGCCACAGGGATTTGTGGCGGAACTCTGCGGGCGCCGACGCCACGTTTCGCTTCCCCGCCCGGCCCACCCACGCTCAGGCGGCCTTCACCCACCCACGCTCTCGCTACGGGTGGTGGAAGTCAGCCCACCCACGCCTTCGCTCGGCGTGGTGGCAGTACTCGATCACGTTCGTGGATGACCGGCCACTCACGCCCACGATAGAGTCAACACGCCCACAATAGAGCCAACAACGCCCACTTACGCCCACGATAAAGTCAATTTGCCAACAAACGCCCACGATAGAATTAACACGACCACGCACGCCCACGATAAAGTTAACACGCCCACGATAGAGTCAATACGCCCACAAACGCCCACGCTCGGCGTGGTAACATTACTGCCACCCACGCTCTTCTTCGGGTTGGTGGAAGCCAACCTACCCACGCCCTAGAATCCTAGATCGGGATGGTGACAGCACGCCCACCCAAGGCCTAACTCGGGCTGGTGGCATTCCGCCCACTTACACCGTCTCCTAGAGCACTCACCCACGCCCTTGCTTGGGAGGATGTCAACCCACCTCCACCCTTACTTGAGTGGATGTCAGCTCACCCTTGCCCTCGCCCAAGTTGATGTAAAAGCCACCCACCCACGCCTTCGTCCGGGTGGATA